ATTCTTGACAACCTCAAACTTTTCTCCATTTATCATGTTGCTGACTGGTCCAGTTGTGAGCATTTTGTTTTAAGGTGTCATTCATACTGAACGCTGTAGTCTTTGATCTTAAGTGCTTTGAGTCCTTTTCATTTTTCAGCACACAAGGTAGTGTCATTTCCATGGACCACAGGACATTTACTCTGCTTTTCAATTACTATATTGTTGTTGTTGTTGTTGTTGTGTACCGTAGTGTCAGAACTGACCCACAGCTGACCCTCCAGTGGGTTTGCAGAAGCACTTAATCACACAGGAGGAGACTGCCCAACTGGTGGCCTTGAACCGCAAACTGCCTTTGGGATTACAGTGCAGCTTCTTGCCACTAGGCCACCAGAGCTCCCTGGCTCTGGTCACTGGCTTTATTATTTTCTCTCAAATAATAAGGGTGTGGGAAGGGAAGGCCTATCACACAGTTTCACACTCATAATATGTAAACCTTAGGTTATAACTATAGTTCGTCACCTGCATTTCTTTGTGTCATTTGTGAGGACCAAGAACTTCGAGTACCCTTATAAAACCCCCCTTATAAAATCCTGGAAAGCTTAAGGCAGTGCTTTCCCCAACAGAATCAAAGACCCTCAAGCTGAAGTGACCATCGACCAATTATTCTGTACCACGCTCATCACACCTACTGACTGACAGGATGTGGAGTGTCTCCTCTAGAATCCATCCCCCACGTTAAGTCTTTTCCCCACTGAGGGGCACTCAACTGCCACTTCTTCCCAAAGTACAGGGTCATCTCACACCCACTTCCTAAACAGCATGCTGCCGGGAACGCTGTGGACTTTTGATACATGTCAGTATTTGTACGGGGCTTCAGGCCTTTTGTTCATAGGCAATCAACAACAACATGTATTTTTTTTAACAACATGTATTTTTACAACCTGAAAGTTTATGGCAAACCTGCACCTACACATCATTTTCCAACAGCATGTGCTCACGTTTCTGTGAGTTGTATTCTGTTCATCCTCACACTTTTTCAAACTTTCATGCGATTACATACTTCATGGACAGTATAAACATAACTTTCAGATGCACTGGGAAACCCCACAGATTCACGTGACTCGCTTCACTGTGCTAATTGATGACCTGGGCCCTGCCCGCAGCACCTCCAGTATTCGCTGTGTTTCCGGGAAGCTCCCACACCACTGTAACCCATTGCCCTGCGAATTTCAGCCTGTGACTTCAAGGCCAGTTGCAGGGAATGGTTTATGCCTGGAATGCAGGATAAACATCACTTCTAAAATGATGCTCACTGGAGTTGACATTTGCTCCTGAAGAGTTCGCTCGCACAGCTTTGATGTTTCAGATGGACGTGTGGATGACGGAGGCAGGCTCGTCCAGCAGGCCCAGCGGGTGCTCTCGGGAATCCTACTGAGCACATGGACTAGGACGATCGAACAGCCGTGGGAATTTCACCACCAGAAATGGATTCAGATGGATGGCAAGAGGGGGGCTTTTGATCCAAACTATACCAGTTGTTTCAGACTCTGAATTCAAAGCAAGTGTGAGGACAAAGGTCACTACATGGTAAGGCTAAGGACTACAAAGGATAAAGGGAACAAAATAAGACCTTGAATCTTCCACGAAAAGAACACCTTTCATTTTCACAAAAAGTGAGAAGAAGAAAATTTAACTTTATATTTTAAGTCATTCTATTGTCATTCTTGATGACACCACTAAGAAACACATGTCTACACATAAACTCGCCTAGTAATGGGATGTCTCACACTGGCTCAGGGACTCTGGGATAGGTCACATAGTAAACGAAGATGAAATGACTCCCCTCATCAGTAGAACCTCTCTGCCTTCCTACAATGCTTGGCTCTGCTGAGTCACTGAAACCTCCCTTTTACTGTACCCTCATCTTCACCCTCAAGTAAGCAAAGCTGGTAAAGCTACCTGAGACCCCCAAGAACAGTAGAGAGCATTTCCAAGGTGACATTCTGAAAGCAGACTGCCACATCTCTCTCCTTCTGAGCAGCTGGTGGCTTCGAGCCACCGACCTTCTGGTCAGCGGTGGAATGCTTAACCACTGAGCCACCAGGGTTCCATGAGGATCTAAACCCTTCACAACTCAAAACAAACATCCGGGCGTCATCCGTCCCATGTTACAACCAACTAAGAAGCCAAGCAGTGGCTCGTCTATGGTACCAAGAATGTCAGTTGTTCTGTGTCAAATATGGTCCCAGGAATGTAAGTTGTAATGTATCACCTACGGTCCCAGGAATGTAAGTTGCTATTTGTTGCCTATGGTGCCAGGAATATAAGCTGTCATGAGTCCCATGCCTCAGTTCATTTAAAAAAACAAACAAACAAGGGGGGGGGGGGACTTGCTTTAAAATAAAAGAATTACAAAATCAGCTGAAGAGCATTTATAAGAGATCTAAGCAATAATACACCAGGACTCCCCTCTCCCAGTGTATAGCCATGAGGGACACCTGTGGGCACCCTTCATGAGCACAACATGCTCTTATTTTACCCAGTTATTTTTAAGTCCAAGATCAATTATGCAGCCCTTACGTGGAATAGTGCTAGTAACAGCTGCTACTCTCAAAGTACCAACCCTTACGCTAGATGCTGCCCTACAGTCCATCAAATTCTCACCAGGAGGCTGTACTCTCCAGGTACAGTGCTAGGGAACACTGATCAAAAGTCAACTTGTCAGGTCACATAGCTGGGAGAGAACTAGGACCCAAACCCGGGCTGCTGGTGTCCCTGGCACAGGCGCTCTCCAATCAGCCACACAGCACTTCCAAACAGCTCCGGACAATCGGATGAGAAAGGAATTCTATCCTAACAGCTGCCTTCTACTGGAAGGCTGGAGGGGGCCAGGTGCTCTGAACACTTTATCTCCTCCTCTTCTAGCCTCAATCAAGGTAAGAGAAGGTACTCCCTGTATGGATCAGGCAACACGAGCACCGTGACTCGTCCGAGGTTATTGCCTTGGCAGTTCTGGTGGAGTTTCACTACCATCTCAAAGGCACACAGTTCGATTCCACCAGCTGCCTCGCGGGCAATCTCCTCCCATGCGGCTTCCCTCTGGGGGTCAGCTGTGAGTGGATTCCAACAGTAAATAGCAACAGGAACTGCCTGAGAATAAAGTGAGATCTGCTTAACTCCTTTCCTAGTCCTGGCTCTTTGCACCATGACCTTCGAGAGATCAGAACCACCTACGCACTCAACAATTCAACAGCATGCCATTTTTTCAGGGACACAGCAGTGGGCTGAGTACAGACACGAGAAAACTTACAGTACATACTAGGCTCAGAGTGAAAACTAGAAAAAGTGGAGACAGACTTAGCAGATGAGAACAGAGAGCCTGGGGAGGCTGCAAGTGGCCGCTGAAAGGGAGGACACGAAGCAGCAGGGGACAGCGCAAGGGCATTCCAGGTGAAGGGCAAGTTCAGAAGGAAAGCCCAGCACACTGTCTGAATGAGAACAGCTGTACCTCAACTGTTTCAATACAGAAAAGCGGAACTCTGTGAGCAAGACAATCAAGAATGTTCTCTGTCTCTGTCAGTATGGGCGTCCAAAGGACAGTTATTTTGTTGGTGTTTTTTTCTTAAACAATCTTTCCATTTTACTATAAGACACACACCTACTGTCATATTTATCCTATCTAGCCTTAACTAATATTTCATGTCTGTGTTTTGACCAAATTATCTTTGTGTTTGATATCTGCATTAGGAGCATAGAAATGCGGATTTTATAGCTCTGTACAAACAAATGTCTTACCCAAAACTTAACTTGGTTTGTTTTTTTTTTCACCCGCTGGTATGGCCCACCCAAAGTCCAAAGGTATATCAAATCTCTGCATAAAACTCAGAGTTTTTACTAATGTTAATTTTACTCCAGAGAACACCAACTAAATCGGGGCGCTTTAAACCCAAGTCTTATCATTAATATAACTAAGGAAATGCTAGCCACTGTGCAAAAGAGTTCAACAGTCTTGAGTTGCTACAGAGAAAACTTTAATAGATCCTTTTTCCAGGTAACAGAAAAGTATTTAAAACACTTTAATACTATCAATTTTTTGGTAACAAGGGCTAATGTCTGATGTTACTTGCACTGGCTGTGCAACAGCAGAGGAAGAAGCACAGAAAAAGTACAAACTTTTCTGAGGTCAAATGGTTTCATTTACAAGGTTCAGGCATCGTACTTCCAAAAATGTGAGGCTCCAAAGACAAATGCAACGGAGAGTGGTGTGAACGCAGTTACTGCTGGAATAGTGACACATCCTAGAGAAAAAAAAAAAATCAAATTTTCCGTTTATGTATCCAGCATGCGGAAGAGGCATTAAAAAAAAAAATTAAGGAGGGGAAAAAGTCCGTCCAACGCCGCAGGCTAGAACTGAAGTTCCAGAGATCTGAACACGTGCAAACCTATCTTAACCTCTAGCCCAGTAATCGGGCTGGCAGCTGCTAGTCCTGAAACTTCTGGGCTTTCTTAGCCCAAGACTAGCAAGAGGAAGACAGAAACCAAGAGAAAGTGAAGAAGGGAGAAGGCATCCTAAGCCGGCCAGAGAAGTGTGGGCTGTTAGGAGCCGCATCAGTAAATGGACACTATAAGGCAAAGAGCAAATAATGGGTCTATTTAAAATGCCAATTGATCTTAAGAGGTGATATGGGCAGCAAGGTTTGGGGCCCGAAGCGAGGAGAAGTAAGAAAAGACCCATTTCGCAGATGGGTAGAGTGAGATGGAAGTTACACACAGTCCCACAACTGTCAGCGGTGCAGTTCAACAGGCGATCACCCTCCTGGAGAGTCCATTCCACCTGCCATCCCACGCCCGCCCCAGCACCGCGCCCAACACTTGAACACAACATGAAACTATTTTCTAGAGCGAGTCTCAAGTCATGAAACTCCAGGCTGGGCAGGTGGACACCGGCTGCAGGTCCGGGGAGTCCGGGCTTGGGGGACAGAGTCAGTGCTGGCGCTGCGCCTGCCCCACTCACTCACCCGGATGCCCTTCACCACCGTGATGTTCTCATTCTCATCGGCCTCGAAGGTGACCCGGCGGGTGCTGGCCGTCCCGCCCATGGCTCCCGCGCCTGCTTCCGCGGCGGCCGAGGGTGGACTCGCGAGCACTGGGACTCACGCGTGCTCACGCGCGTGCAGGCGCCCGGACGTTCCCCGTGACAGCCGGAGCAAGGCCACGACCCCAATGAGCAAGGAGAAGGCGCCGGTCCCGAAACCCCGCCACCTCCGGTCACTTGCCACCACAAGCTCCTTCAATTGGTCAAAGTTGGAAAAGGCCCGCCTCCATGAGACGCGAGCTCCAGGGTTGGTTGATCCAGACCCGGATTCTATGGCAACAGGTGGTATTTAACAAGACTTCCGGAGTCCCAAAGCATCTATGGGAATTGTAGTCCATATCTAGTGCAATGCATTTTGGGATTTTCTCGCCTTCCTCTCAGGAGAGCAAAGGGAGCACGGCCTTCTGGGAGTTGTAGTCTTAATGGCAGAAAAGGGTTATAGCGGGTTACTTTCCAAAGAAGTTCAGCCGTCCCAACACAACTGTTTTGAAAATCAGCTGTGTGGCAGACGTTATTTTAGAAACTTGGGTCTGTGATAAATCGCGCTCTCTCACAATCCCTTTACGAAGAGAAATCACAGTTTAATAGAGGAAATGCACTTTCCTAATGGAGCCAGTCCTAGGAGGGGCCAGTGTCTGCAGAAGGACATTATGCCTCATTAACCTTTGTGTATCCAACCGCAGTCATCTAAGCTCGTTACAAAATCCATGATACAGCTCGACAAAAGTTCATTGATTGCCAGTAGTGGCATAAATTACTGTTGTTGTTACTGTTGTTGTTGATTGCCTTCCAGTCGAGCACAACTCAGAGGCACCCTATGAATATAAGGCCTGAAGCCTCTCTGCAACTATTGATATTTATCAAAGTTCATAGAGTATCAAAAGGAACCAAAGTGGTGTCATACAAAGTTGAGACAATTTATTTTGGAAAGTTTTTAAGTCACTCTTTCACTTCTAAAATATCACTAAATACTATTTCGTTATCCACTTACATATTTTAAAATTATGTAGATTGTTACATACTGTGAAACCTAACTTTCCGTATATGATGATAGTCTTACAGAGGCGGAGTGTTTGTTCTCTTTAGAAGTGAATGATGGAACTTCTGGCATTCGCTGCCCACATAGTCAGCAGGAGGCCACATGCAGACAGCAGCTCTGTTATGCAAAGGTACTCAATGCAGCAACACGTTCGAGCTTCAAGTAATATGCTCTGGTGACCTAGTGGCAAGAAGCTGCACTGCAATCCCGAAGGCACTAAATTCGAGGCCACCAGCTGCTCTGCTAGATGAGGGTAAGCAATATCCCCCAGTGCAATTAACTGCCTCTGAAAACCCGCAGGGGGGTCTGCTATGGATCTGTTCCAACTGGACCTCACACAACAACGACAACATTACCATGAGAATCTTAAAAGCAGAAAGCATGTCATTCTCATTGTTTACATCTGGTTGGAGTGCTGGTAACAGTGGTTAAGTGTTCAGCTATTAGCTGGAAAGGGCGACAGTTTGAATTTAGCACCTTTACGCAGGAGAAGGATGTGGCACTCGAGTTCCATAATAACTACAGCCTAGGATAATGCATGACGTATTCTCCTCTCTGCTATATGGTTGCTGTGAATCAGAATGGATTTGATGGTAACTGCTCAGTAGCAGAGTTTTAATTTTTTTTTTCATCGTATACATAACCAACGTTTATTATGTACTTTGAAATTACATGTTATTTTGTACTTATTCTCATGTTCTCTAATATGTTCAAGCTTTCTTCTAGCAGCTACAAAAAGTCTGAGGGAAAATGTCTTTCATTCCTTTGGAACCTTCCCCTCTACAAGCACACCCTCCTTTATTACCTCAAAGCACAGACCATATGCGATAACTTACATAAAACAGACTTCACTCATCAAAGTGACTAATTATCAAGAAAATGTTTCTTGGTGAGAATAAAGAGCTGAAGGAACCATTACCTATCTTGAAGTGACTTCTCAGAGTACTAAACGAGGGGTTTATTTTCAACAAGTATACTAAAGATAATGATGGTTAAATATCACAAGATAATGTGGCGCTTTCATTTAAAAAAAAATAAAGGCAAGTCAATTTTCTTTCCAGGAAATATGTAGTCATTTCAATGACAATATTACAAATACTAAGAGTGACAGAAGAGGAATCAATGCCTTTGAATTGTGGTGCTGGAGAAAAGTATTCAATAGACCATGGACTACAAAGAGAACAAACAGGTCTTTCCTGGAGAGGAGGAAACCAAGTGTCTCCTTGGAGGCTAGAATTCTGAGGCTCCATCTCACATACTTTGGGCACATGGCCAGGAGGGGATCAGTCCTTGGAGAAGGACTTCATGCCCAGAAGGGTGTAGAGACAGCACAGGAGAGGAAGACCCTGGATGAGATGAATTGACACAGTAACTGGGGAAATGGGGGTAGGTGTGTCAAAGTCAGTGGCTCAAGATAGGGCAGGCTTTAGACATGTGCATAGGGTCACTACAAGTCACAGGAGACACAACAGCACATAACAATAACATTACAAATAATCTTTCTAAATTAATTTTTTCAATCTTTCTCTGGGAGGGGGGGGAATGCCCACTATCTTGGAAAGGGTGAAGCCAGAGTGCTTCTTGGAGGCAAATATGGCGACACTTCATTTTTCACACTTTGGACACGTAGACTATTCCTTGGAATGCAACATTATGCCTGGGAAGGTGGAGATTCAGCAAAAGAGAGGAAGATTCCCAGCAAGATGGATTGGCACAGTGACTTCAGCAGTAGGCTGTAGTGTGTCGAGAAGATGAAGATGCCAGAGGACAGAGCAGGGTTCAGGCCGGCTGTTCATGGGATCGCCATGAGTTGTAATGAACTTGACAGCACCAAACAAGAACAACATGATAATATTTCCTGTCCATGTCAGTTTCGAGATAAGCCACACCTATAGCCCCTTCTAAAGAAAATATCATTAGCTCCTAGACATAATTTTTTTTTTTACATTCTGTCATTCAAACTAAGAACACATGTCTTACAATGTTCACTACAAATTTGGCTATATAATCTTTCCTTTCCAATCTTAAGCCTATGATGGCTACATCTAACCAGTTACCATAGCAGAAAAACCACCAGTTTAGACTGAGGATACAAAGAAAGACAAGGATGTCGACTGTTTCTTGAACTTCTATCGGCAGCAAACTGGCTGAAGAAGCTGCATTTGTTGTCCTCCAAGAAAAGAAGGCACCCATTTCTGGAGCAACTCGGGGAACCAGGAAAACCATTGAGAAGACCATGGTGATTAGAAGCTTTTAGACTTCAAAAGATGGGTCTCATGGATCTCAAAAGACGAGATCACAGCCTACCAGGTTTCAACAAATTGAGCCTTCTTTTCCAAAGTAAGGGGCTTCAATTAAGGTATGCCAGAGAGGTGGGACCAGCACCCAAAGCAGAGTTTGCATGTGCTGAGGGCATAAGCATGCGGCCTGACAGAGCCAAGCAGGTGAGGTCACCACTCAGGCAGACTAGAAGAACAAACCCAATGAAAACCAAGAGAACAGAGCTGCCATCTCAGAGGACATGAAAGATGGAGCTGAAGTCCAGAGTCAAGGGGGTTAAATACAATATGTGAAGGGCTTGGCCAATGCCGAGGGTCCTGAGGGCAGAGCCGTGCCCAGATGGTCACAGAGAAGAGAGGATTATTCTCAACCTAATTGCAAACTAATGTAAACTATTCTTCTGCATTTTAGTGCTCATCAATTTTTCTTTCCTTCTAACTTCTATTTATAGTGGAAATATCAATCTTGTGTCTATTGCACTTTGGAAACAGATAACTTGTAATACAGATTTCACAGGTTCACAGATGAAAAGGAATTTTACCCCAAAAGGAAATACCACTCACCTGTCACCCATATTTGATTTAGATAGTTCAGAAAAAGAGATTTTGCGCTTGCATTAATTTTAAACTTTTGGGATGTTGTGATTGCATGAATGTGTTTTGCATTCTGCAAATATATGAACTTGATGAGGCTACAACAGAAAGCATAGTCCACAACGTGTGAAACTGAAAAGCAAATGGCCGTGGTGACAATTAAAGCTAACAGTGGCCCCCTGGGTGAAAGATAGGGAATTGTCTCTCATTTTTACAGCCTCAGAACCCAATGAAGGGTCATTGTCAATCAATCAACTCTGAGTTGAGTTAGACTCAATAGGAGTGAGTTTGAGTTTCAAAAAGTGAAAAACGTTGTGGACTGAATTATATTCCCCCAGAACACAAGTTGTAAATCCTAACTTGTGTGCTTGTTGTAATCCCATTTGGGAGTGAGTTGTCTTCATTATGCTAATGAGACAGGATTAGTGTAGGATTTATCTTAAATCAATCTCTTTTAGACATGAGAAATTAAGCAAGCAAGCAAGAAAAACCGAGGCGAGTGAAGATTAATGGTAAATGCACATGGAGCTGGCCAAGGAAGCAGGGAACGAGCTGAAGAGAGAAAGATCTTCCTTCCCCCTGAGCCAACAGAGAGAGAAAGCAATTGCCTAGACCCAGTATAGTGAATCCAAATGTCTAGCCTCCAAAACTGTGAGAAAATAAATCTCTGTTTAGTACAGCCATCCACGTGTGGTATTTCTATTATAGCAACACTGGATAACTAAGGCACACAGGATGATGAGGTGGCTGGGAGGAGAGAGGTGCTGGTCTCCAGTGAGAAAAGCCAGTGACTCAGTGTGGTTCTGACGACCTTCTCCCCAGCTCTGGGGAGCAGCATTTCAACTGGATAGACTTTGACCTTTGCTGATATTGATCATGTTTCTGAACTGAAAATTAGGGCATGTACTCTATTTATTATTTATGTACTTATGGAGACAATTAAAGCAGCCCTTGGAATCAGGGTCATCCTAGAAAATCTAGGACATATAGTTACCATAGTTATAGCAAACCAATTAAAATCAGTGTAAAGTGCTTCATGGGTATTGTGGACATTCAACAAGAAGAAATTCTGGAAATATGGAAACAGACTTG